TACAGTTTAAATGAGGTGCATGGTACAAGAAACCTGATTGGATATTCCGTTTCAAAATTTAATAACACATTTTATTTAAATAGTTAAATTTCTTATCAACAAGCACCATATCTAAATTTGAGGGAAAAGTGTCAAGCCTAGAATACTATCCACAAATGATCAACCTCATATTTTTCCAATAATAAAAATGGATAACTACAGTAGGAAAATAGAAAGAAATTAGACAAGGAATCTGAACTTAGTCTGAATCCAAGTTATTAGCTTTGACCTTGGACAACTCATGCACTCTCTGAAATTCACTTTTCCTATCTGTAAAATGGAGATAAGAATAGTTAATAGCAACCTCACAGGGTTTCTGCAGCTATCAAGGAGATAAAATATATGAAAGTTCTTTGTAAATTTGTTCAAAAATGTTAGCTAATTTAATTTGACAGAGGTCCTATTCTAATGTACTTGACATCTACATTCTTTTTCATTCCACTTAGAGTTAGGAAAAATCATTCACTAATCATAAGGTTATTATTAAAACGTGTTTATAATTCAAATGAGGCAAATGTTAATCAGGCAAATTAAAAATGCCACAAATTAGAAAGAGCAACACTTTCCTTCTGAGGTAAGTATGCATGGCATATGGGAATTTAGTGTTAGATAGATGATTGTGGTAATAATGATAGATAATTAAATTCATGTGTTCAAGTGGCTCCATTTTTATCTGAGTGTGTGTGTACATGAATACAAAAACTGAGGATTTAAAGACAATATTACTCCCTGCTTATAATTTATAAACAGTGAAAATAATATTATTAACATAAATTATATTTGTCCAACTACAATATAATTATAATGCAAATCCAAGAAATAGTTGATTAGTACTACATAGATTTAGAAATATAAAGAGAAATAATGTATCACCTCTTTTCTACTATAAAAATCTAATTATATACAGAAAGTTGGTTGTGAAGTATCTTTGTAAGAAAATAGTTGCCTTAAGTCATAGTCTAAAATTAATTATTCCATATGTTTTTATTTAAATAAATTATCACAAATATGCCATTTTAAGTAGAAATTACTTAAAAGTGCATTCTCCCACTGGGGCTTAAAATGAAAAGACCATTTTTCCAAAAGCATTTTTTTGCCACTGATAATTTGTTTAAAATAACACATCAGATCACATGAGGAAAATTTATTTAACCTTGTTTACAATGCTCTTTAACTCCACTTAATTGTTAAGATTGATCTATAAATATCGGTATAATGGTTTTGCTGAAGACTGTTTAATTCACTTCAAAGTATCTGTTAATATCCCACTCTCTCTGCAAAGAATTT